TCCACCCGTCCAAGCGTGACATTCTGTGCTACTGGTTCAGAGCGCTCTGGAAGTACTTCAGCAGAAAGTCCAGGGTATTGTTTTGAACGGAATATTAACCTAACATTCATGCTAAAACGTAAATTGTTGAAATTCCTCCTTGCACGATTCATGTATGTCAGTCACAGGTGGCAGAAAAGTTAAAGCTGGTTAACGAGAAATAATACAGAGAAAATAATAAACTAAGCTAAAAAAGTGTACCGCGCTTCTTTTCTTATCATTTGGATTGAATTTCAGATTTCGTTTTGTTACATTATAATAGCCATTATCGTAACAGAACAATTGTATGAACTTATGTTTTATTTCAGAGCTTCCAGTTATTTTAGAACAGGACGAACATTAGATTATACCAGGCCAACAGAATCTTCAAGATCAGCCGGCAATCCTTCAAGCTATTCTGCTCAACCGAGTGCAGCCAGTACTGGAAACTCTGTAAGGTATGGAACATCTCAAAAAGCACTTACAGTTCACTAATTATAAAGTACAAATAAAATAGAAGACGATATGATCGTTGTGTGAACGAATAAGAACACTGAAGTAAATACATCCTGGCCCTGATCCTGGTAACCCGCGGCGCAAAACGCGGGAAGACGTGTGCAACCAAGTCACGATTGGTTTTGGTCTGTATATGTGATTGGTTGCGATGATGGCGGAACTTTTTTCTGAAACCAATCAGAAAGCGTTGCAAGACAGAGCAATTCTGAATTTAGTACTTTCCACACGTATAGTAGGTAAAACTTTTGATTGAACATTTGAGAGACTTGAAAGCCAGTTGTTTATTCCACATGTACGGTGAAATTTTACAAATTTACCTGTATGACAAATACGGCATGAAGAAGTCAGGGAAGAGTTTAAGACAAAAACACACAGGCAGGCCGCGAAACCTCCCATGAAAGATCGGCTCGTCTGTGAATCACGACGAAAGCTAATGCGTGGTAACTGAAATTCCTCCTTAAGACACCGACGAGTAAAATTTACCTAGGCCGTGAATAAACAAAAAAAGAGCCCAATTAATTTCAAGGACTTCAAGTGGCTTGAAGTTATCCCTCCCTTAACAACTTTTTAATTGTAGTAAATCAAATCACATGCAGGGCTTCGAATTATGCTGGATCAGGAAGACCATCAGACTACAACAAGCCGACTGCGTCCACAAGGCCAGCTGTTGTTTCTTCTTCATACAGCTCAAGTTACTCTTCTCCAAGTGCAGCGACTGAAAGATCCACCCGTCCAAGCGGGACATTCTGTGCTACTGGTTCAGAGCGCTCTGGAAGTACTTCAGCAGAAAGTCCAGGGTATTGTTTTGAACGCAATATAAGCAAAACATTCATGCTAGAACGTAGACTGTAGGAATATAAAGCCCCATTGCACGATTTATTGTATGTGAGTCACCGCCAAAAAAGTTAAAGCTGGTTAATTAACGAGAAACAATTCAAAGAAAACAATAAACTACCGGTAAACTCAAAAAATGTTCAGTAACCATGCTTCTTTTTTATCATCTGGATTGAACTGAATAACTCTATGAGCTTATATTACAGAACTACTGGTTATTCCAGATCAGGGCGAACATTTGATTATACCAGGCCAACAGAATCTTCAAGATCAGTCGTCAATCCTTCAAGTTATTCTGCTCAACCGAGTGCAGTCAGTACTGGAAGCTCGAGCACTGTAAGGTATGGAACCAGAGTATGGAACATCTCGAAAACCACTTCAGCAGTTCAGGAAAGTGCAATACAGAAGCCGGGATGGTCATGTATATTATTATTGTGATAGAATGGGCTTTTAACACAACCAACCAACTAGAAAAGATCGAGGAAAATACATGTAGTCCTGGTAACCCGTGAACGCCAAGCGCGGGAAGAGGCGTACAACCAAATCGCGATTGCCTTTGGTCTTTGCATCTGATTGGTTGAATTGATGGCGGGACTTTAAAAAAAAAAACAACAAAAAAACAAAAAACAAAAAGTATACTACAGGCAGTTCTGAATTGAGCAATTACCACAATTATAGTTGAAATTTGAATGTGAAACAGCAATTTGGTGCAAGTCCTCTACTCTGTTTCAGGCTCAAATTTTTGTGTTAATCACGGTGGCAACTGAATTCAGGCCGTTCACACAGTTTTGTTGTAACGTTTGTGCCAGGTTTCTTTTAAAAGTAACAAAATTTGTTACATAAGCCTTTATAAAATAGGTTTGTGCGGGAGAACAATCAACCGAAAAACTGAATGATTTACTATTTCCAATATTTTAAAGATTCTGGATTCGAGTAAAAACTTCATATTGCTTTAGCGATATTAGAGCAAAATACTCGATATTTGCTGCCCAAACCCAAGACGAACGAATCTGCACAATTTACACACATTTTTATATTCTTATACATTCTTAGATCTTTTAGAGTAGTTATATATTCTTAGATAGTTTAGTTAAATATTTATAACCAATTATAGATACATTTTTACATTTTTATTTTTCTTTCTTGGCGCACCTGTAAACTAACTGGTGTGTCCTGTAGACTCATCAAGTCTATGGGACGCACCGTTACCACAGCTAAGTGTGTTGTCCAAATAAAATAAACTGTCTATGTCTATGTCTAAATGAATAATTTGCTGGTGAAAAAAAGAAGATTCATTGACTTCATGTTAGTGTGTTTCGCTTAAAAACAATAATCTAAAAATTATCATCAATTTTAGGGCTACTGGTTATTCTGGAACCGAGATAACATCTGATTCCAACAGGCCAACGGAATCCTCGAGACTGGCAGCTTGTTCTTCCTATATCTCGAGTTCTTCCGCTCAACCAAGTGCAGTCAGTGTGAGCTCTACTCATCCAAGTGCGAGTTCAGCAACTTATAGTGCGTCCGGTTCAACTGGCGCCCGCGATACGTCACTTGGTCACGGAGTAACTAGGTAAGACAGTGGTAGCATTATGCTTAAATACTGGTATAATCTGACCTGAGAGAGTCTGTAGCGAGGATGACAGGCGCTAAACTGTACAGGAAACAAGAATCTTATATTATTCACGGGACATTGCCAGATAAAATCATTTATAACTTTTGATTAATTAACCATTTAGTAGTAAGTTTAAATACTTGCTTTTTCAGTTTACAATCTTTAAACAGTCATTTCATTTGTTTAAAAAAATGTTTTTCCGCTCCAAAATTTGACTTG